GTGCATGGCTAAAATGTGACATTAGTTTCATTACAGCAGCGCAAACACAACCAGCAAACTGTAAGAAACCACTGCAAGCATTATATAAACAACTATTTTTGCACCAGGATGAGGCTTTCTGGTCTGTTACCGGGTGCAAAAATCTGTTCTGCATCAGTGTTTTCAAAGTTCCACATCCATCATGGTTAACTCAAAGCAAATTCAGACTGCTTTGATGACCTGCCTCAAAGTCACATTAGCTCAGTGATCCAGCACGCAAAGCTCCAATCAACACCTGTCAACCTCCACTACTGCAACTGTCGACAGAGGGAACTTGGATGTTTTGATAGATCCATGTCGGTATGAAGTCCAACATGCAGCAGCTGTTGCGTGCAGCAACCTAAAACACTGCTCACCACTGTCCTCTTTATTGTTTGGCAAGCGTGAGCCAATTAATTTGACCTAGTTTTACATGAGAGAATTCTTTAGGTAGCTTTGGCTCCTTCTGCCTCCAATCAGTGTCTCTCCCCACTGCAGGGGTCTTTCTGTGAGTTTGTGCTATACAGAGTGGACTCTGGTCAATTAGGCTTCCTCATCCAACGCCCACACTAAGGTATGTGTCAGCCTAACAAATGTAACTGTGCATGAAACTGGTGCCAATTTACCAGTTTGAGCCAGAAAAGATCAATTTGGTTCAATGAAGCGGCTCCGAAGATGCACGGCATCAGGATGTTTTCTAAGGAGCTGATGACGAGGCATGATTGCAAAAGCATTCAAATGTAATGTTTCCAGCAAAAAGCCTGGAAAAAAAAAGAATTTCCTATTAAAAAAAGAAACTCACAACATTTAAAGACCCCTTCAAATGAAAACCAAGTTTTTAATTCTCCTAACATTTTAAATGCTAATCAACATTATGAATGAGGTAAGGAGTAAATGCCATTGCTCAGCATATCTCTTTGGAACACAGTGTATTTCTAAGAGTCTGTGATGGAAGAAGCACACTCGGAGGCAGGAATGATCTTTTGTGGTGCAGTGAGATTTTGCAGACACATGACTACTATCCACATGGCATTAACTTGTCTGCCATTTTGAATGTGTGACAATCGTAAAGACAATGTAGAGTAAAGTGAATAAGGCGCCTGTCGCACATGTCTGGACACTGATCTATGACCATCTGACCATGTGAAAACTACCAGCTCTAAGGGTAAAATTAGTACTGCCAGACTGATTGCAAGTGGTTGCTGGAGTTCGATGGCAGTTGCAAGGAAAAATAATTGCTAAAAATCCAATCACACAGGCCTACAGGCTGGTCAGTGACCTGCTGGCAACCACCCGTCACTAGGGAAAAACATCTTTCCCAACCAGATGGCAAAAACCTTGTGATTTCTTTCGTTGCTAGCATATTGCTGCTGACATAGTTTGACTGCATGTCTACAAACACTGTCCAGTCCAGCCACTCTCACAGCTGTAGCGAAACTGTGGAAAGTGCAACACAAACTGAAGACTGTTCATCTTCAAAGTAAAAGCCTTTTGAAATACGTTGTATCCATTGCTTTCCATTGATAGGGTTTCTAAGCAGAAAGACAAAATCAAGTTTACTCATGATGTTTAAAAGAGATTTGAAAACTACTGCAAACAGTGCTAATCTCCCCTCTGTTTTTGGCACACTCCAAAATCGCCCCCCCCCCCTTACAAAACAATTTGGAATCCCCCGTTTCCTGTTTGATAGTGTGGGCCTTCAACATGGTGGCCATGGGCTGTGAACGACAAACCTTCCTTACAAACATTTCAGCAGTGCTGGCAATAAAAATGATTCTACTTGAATAATATGATTTTGATCTGCAGCACGACCAAAATCATTGTGACCATGTGGTATGAACTTTTAATCTTTTGAGACGGTTTCTTTGATGACTGCAACTCACAGTTGTTGTGTTTAGAGTGACTGCTATCATATCATGTCTACCAACAGTCTGACTGAATGGGGTCAAGCTGGCAATTTCAGGCAATCTGTTAATAATAATACGGCAACTAACTGTAAAAAATCGGGGGGAAATCACATATTTGCTGCTGTTTACACAGAAATTCACAGTAACTACTTACCATTCTGAATCTAAATGGAACCTTCACAATAGTGATGTTGCTAAAGGACATAGACACTCAGCAACCGTGCCTTTATTTAGGAAAACCAAATGCAACCAGCTGAGTTGAGTGTCTTACTATAAAGAGTAGCGCTGCAGGCGAGTTGTGCTATCGGCACAGACTCCAAAGAGTTGGCAGTCTGTCTGTGTTTATAACTTAGTCTGAGATCATTTGCACGCATTCGGCAATCTGTGTATCAAATTAGGCATCAACAATTGTGTAACTCGACTGGTATTGTGGTACTGACTACTAATGCCTGATGCAGTCCCATTCTTGCATATTGTTTATTTCCTGCTTCTACAGTGTGGTAAACTATGAGGGGATATTGGGCTTACGTTTTTCCTGCAATGATGAACCGACAACAACAATTTTATGATGCTTTGGCTTTCTGAACTGCTTAAAAAGAACCAAACATGTCTGTGTTTTGTTCATAAGATAATTGACATGTTAAATGAATAAGTTCAACAGTTCATTGACATGTTAAATGAATAAGTTCAACAGTTCTTGAAGTCTTCACTTTCATATGAGTTTCCTGCTGGGAGTGACACAAACACCCTGATATCTACAAATGCTTTGACTTTGACATCAAGAAGACTGAGACACTTCTTTGCCATTCTGCGGTGGTCTCTGAGGGCTTCCAAATCTTTGCACTGACAGTTAATACTCATGCAGCAGCCTTGCCAGGAATGCTGTTTGTTCCAAGCTGGACCACAACTGACTAATTTCTTGTTTAGTTAATCATGCAATACATAATCAGAATTACGCTAAGCTCTGGGAGTTAGTCTCTGAAAAGGGATATAACTGGCTCGCAATCATCAGCTTACACCAACGACATAAACCAGACGTCAGTGAAGACAATCGGCTGAGGACATGACTTTCTTTTAATAGCAAAACCAAAGAGAAAGACATTCAAATTAGAAGGGAGTGATGGTGCCACGTCAAGTCACCTTGTCACGGTCCTCAGGCCAATCTGAAATATCTAATGGGCAAGAGTAGTGCATTTCTGCATGAATACACCGAATGGTACAACCAAGATGTGATTTACTGCTGCTAATGGGTACAAACGATTGTTCAGAATCTGCCTCAAATCATCAAAAATAAAATGGGTGCCCAAAGGAAGCATATTAACAGATTTATTTAAGCGTTTAGTGACCAATTAGCTACGGGTCTTCTCATGCAAGGCCAATAAAGCTGCTGCATTTCATCAATACAAACAGAGTCTTCTCTGCTCTTCTAAAGTCAGGACGGGCAGACGTTTTCCTGACAGGCAGGACGGGTTTGACAGGCTGCTTAGCTGCTGTCCAAGACGTAAAAAGGAATCCATCAATCAAATCCAAAAAGCTATTTGATCATCAGAACAAGAAGCGGTTGAAGTCTCTCATCAGCGAGGCACAAACTGAATTCATTCATTTCATCCCATTAAAAGCAGTTGCACAAATCAAAGCGCGGCAGACGTAATGTCACTCTACAGTAGCTCCAATGCAGAAGCCCACCCAGATTTGAACTCAGGTGTCCTCTAACTGCTTGAGAACAACACTGATGTTTTTATTAAGCGATTACAGCATTGAATGTAAGTTAAGATTGATATAAAGTTCCAGTATTGTCTTTCCTGATGCTGCTTTTAAGTCAAAACCCCCAGTTTGAACCAAACAAATCCTGACATAAAGGAGACAAGCTGTAACAATCTCTGATTTCCACACTGGGAGAAAGCCAACATCTGGTAGGAAATGATGCAGCGGCACGGTTGACAGGAATAAGATCGGCCAAGTCAGAAAAACCTAAAGGGTGTTTTGGAGTAGAGCCTGGATGGTGTATTGGAGTGTGTATTCACAGAAGGAAATTAATAATATTTTAGCACATCAGTGTGTGTGTGTGTGTGTTTGTGCTTGTTTTGGCTCTAGGGTTTAGAGCTAAATGAAATGACTGCAGTCCAAACTGATAAAAGCTAAATATGATTTAAACTTGTCTGCATCAAATTGCTGTTCAAAGAGCATTAACATTTTTATTTGCAATGCTTCAGTCTGTCAGTCACTATCTATGATTTATTTAAACGTTTGCGCATTAACTGCATGCACACAAAGCGGTAACAGGGGCCAAACTGTGCAGGACATTAAACCTGTATGACCAGTATTCTTAGGTAAGCCTTCTTAATTTGACAGCTGGGATTTCTCTGACTAGAATTTTCAAAAATGACATCCGGCTCCTTCAGGTAGACTCAAGCTTTTATGTTATTTTTAACCTCACAGGGGACAATAACGATGGGGGGAGAGAAAAAAGGCAGCAACGTTTGAGTTCCTTGAAATTCATTTCTGAGCATTCAACCATGCAACAACATTATGCCCTCTTAAAATGAGGAGTACTCTGCTGTGTGCTTAAAAGGGAACCTCTGGTATAAAAACACACACACTCACTCACACACACACACACACACGCACACACACATAAGCAGTTGCAGCCACAGCGATATAAATTACATATTTAATGAAAAGTCCCTGCTTCTAAATTCAAAATTTAACTTAAGGTAGGAGGGGGAAAGAGGTTTCAGCTTTTCAAGACGCGTAATTAGGACTGAAGCAGGTTATTCGCTGTTTGTTACTGCCAATAAGTCTGAATCTGAACAATGAATAAACGCCTTTAAATCCCACTCGGCTTCGAGGCAGACGTGTATAGAGGTCGTGCATGTTCAGTTAAAAAAGTATTTTATTCAATGGAGTTTGACTCTTTGCTTAATTCATTGACAATTCAATATTAAAGCAAATTCTTCCATCAGTGATAAGTTGGTTATTTGCTCTCTGATGTTTATAAAAGTGAAGAAAAACTTAGTTTTGTCGCCACTGACATGCTGTGAGGTTTAGGGAGCGTGAGTGGATTAATTACCCTACCTTGAATGATCCACAATAACATCAGCATGGCTTGGAGTCTTGTCTTTATCCCCATGGTGCCACATCCACCGGCTGCTCCCAGCAGCTTTTCTAAAGCTGGCACCAAAACACTCCTCGCACTTCCCTTTCCACAAGTGCTGCCCAGTTATCTTCAGGTAACAATTAATTGTCCGTTACACAAACATGCGAGGCGACGTCTGCAAACGAAGCACCCTCTCCTCTTCCCATCCCTATCATTAACAGCGGCTGACATCGCGGAGCGCACCGGCGTCTCCCCCGCTCCTGCGCTCCACGGATGTCAGGAGAGAAGAAAACATTCAAACTGTTCCACTTCCGTCTGTTTCTCTGCTGCTGTGCTGAGTCCGCTTTATGGAGGGATTACTTCTGCCGCACGTCTGTGCTGAAGTGTGTCGCTCCTTTTTGTCCTGATCCCACAGTAAACTGTAGGCGCTTTTTTCACGTGCTGGAACTGCTCGGTGCCGCCCCCTGTCAGCAACGGTTACGCACTGTTTCCAAACTTTAAGCAGCTCGTCTTAGGACGCACACCAATCAGTGCTGCACCTTACAGTTTTCTACGCCCAGAGACTCCACTCATACTCTAATACGTTAAATAATAACCGCTGTTGTAACTGTTGTAACTGGAAGTAATTCTCAGAAATTCTCCACATGCCAAAAATGCTGTGTGTATTTACCTCTTTATTTTTATG